CAGCTACTCATATGAAGTGTCAGTTTGTAATACTTACACTAAACAGCAATTGGGTATGCTTAAAAAATACTATATATCTTATCCATTAGCTTTCTCAGTAAGTTTCTCTCTAACAAGCATTAAGGGAAATATACAGAAGTATGCTTCCTTGGGCTCCACCTGTATTTCACTCACACAAACACACACACCTTGAAAATTAGAGCCCAATTTATCACAGTGGACTCATCTAATTCGCTGTGAACGTCAAGTGCTTACTGTATTCTGGGCATTGACATCTCTGTGTGACAGTGTATGGGGGAGGGCAATACAAGCTGCCCCAGCACATTTCCAGTGGTTTATTCAGCTTTGTCACTTACAGTAAGCTCTGACTGTGTCATGTGGCATGCATCAGTCCACAAATTAGCCTTCTACCAATATACAGTGGGCACAATACAGCTGGAGTCACAAATGGCAGCAACAAATCGACCCACAGTAACAATGCTCTGTTTATAGTGTGAGCACATTCACTGTAGATTTGAACTTCACACAAACTGAATTCCAAACAGTTTTTTTCACTATTTTCTGATAAGTATCCTGCACAGTATACACTATGTCATTCATTCCCTAACAGATGCCATTTCTTTGGGTCCACCTCTGCATATATCTCCACATGAGGGAGGCACCCTGATCATGTGCTGAACCACCTCAAATGGCTCATTTGAGTGCAAAGGTGCACAGGCTCCTTCTGAACATCTCAGTACAAACACCCAGATAAGGAAACTTATTTTGTTGTTGTAACCACAACTTCATTCTTTGAGTCACTGTCCAAAACTCATGATCTTTGGTACATTCAGTACATAAATTGGCTGGTCACTTGACATAACACTAACATTATTACAAATGGTTTAGATAGTTTAAGAATAAAATTAACTCATATTTCTTGTTAACCACCATTAGATGCCAAGAATGTAGTGTAGAAGCAGCAGCATTTGAAGTTCAAAATGATCTTAAAGACTGGTTTAAATCTTCTAATGGTACATGTAATAAATGGCAAAGAAGAATGGAACAGCAGTTTTCCAAAAATCATCCATGATGATCATGATATTACTATATTAAATTGGAAAGTCAGCCAGCTAGTTAAGCTCCATAACCTGGAAACTTCTTTTTATCCTGGAAGTAAGAAGGGTTGGCAGTGGAAAATATCTGTATAGAACTAGAGGTTATCCAACAAAATCAACAGACATGTTCATTTATTTGAAAATGTAGGTTTTGGCTGATGATTTGCCACTTGATTTGGATGTTGGAGGCAACCCTGGAAAATGCCTTGCAGTGCATCACTTTCAAAGGGATTGCTGTACTTTGTTGTCAGTTTACTTTTTCCTCCTCGATTTTGTCTTGGTCCTGGGGATGGGATGAAGTGGAGTGCTGTCTCCCACAGATTATATTACGTCTCCAAAACAGTTTGTGCTGACTTGATTTTTTCTCAACTTTTTATCATTTTCTGCATTTAGGCATTGTCAAGTTGGTTCCATTATCTCTTTCACAACAAGTGCAGCAGCAGCTTTGGTGCTTTTTGACACATAGCGAAGTAGGTCAGGGTATGAAAGTAAAGCTGCTGACAGAAGCAGAGGAACAATAGATGGCAGAGAAAAAGGAGGGAATTACAGATGAGAGGGCCAAAAGACAGATAACTTAAATACCTCTGTATATGAACTGAGATGAAAAATGCCTCTCAAACCTCCTGAGAAGATCTTTTTGTAGATACTTGCTTAAAAATCTTTTCTTCAGAGGAACTGAAGTGATATAGCTACATAAAATATTCTACCAAATTAAAGCACTGTTCTATTCTGTTTTATTCTGCAAAAGTGACAATGTTTTCAATTTAACGTGACAAGCTTGTTTTGTTTTTTTGATTATGACATTTTTATGGTATCAGTTGCAATTTATTTCACCCTGGTGCACCAAAGCCAACACGAGAGTCAGGAAGAAGTCAAGAGAGCACAGTTTGTACATGCTCCCACAGCCCGGAGAAGATCTCTGATGAGCCAAAGTAAGAGAAAACACTTGTGTGGGTGTACAGTGTATGTGTAAGGCCTTTTAATTGTAAACTGCAAGTTCCATCCAGAAATATTTGGTAGTGGGTCAGCTGCTGTCTATTAGGGGAATCATGCTGGTCAGTTTAGCCCCCATATTGTTCATATAGTTACTGAACTAGGAGCAGCCAAAGTAGGATGTTCCAAATTTTGACTCCAAAGGCAACATAATGTACTGAATTGTGCTTGCTGTATCATTGCACCCCTGATAGCTAGTATGCTGCTATAAGGATAGAGCTCCCAGCTCTCCCACAGCATTGTAACATTGTACTGGGCTTAATTGCCAGGGAAGTCCCAAACTTTGGACCACCCCCAGAGCAGTTACATCCACCATCTGTGCATCATTTGGCCCATATACCCCAGCTCAGACCCGAGCTATACAAGAGGCCCAACCTTAACAGACCTAATAACAGGATTTACGAACTCTAGCAGGACTTGGAACAAAGTTTCTGCATGTCTCACATCTGGAGAAAGCAAAACAAGTGTAGATAAATTAGCACTGCCAATATGCCTCTGGGTCATAAATCATCAATTTATGAATCATAAATGTGTAGGAGAGTTTCAGGTTGATCTTTCAGATTGAGATTTTTGTTGGAACCTGTCCAAGACAGATGTGTAGTATGTGTTTCAATCTGAATGACACTCTTTAAAATGATAGGGGTGGGGGGGGCGACTGAGCTGACCTTTCCACCATGTGGGACAAAGGTCATGGACAAAGGCAAACAGGGGTCGGATCTGAATAGAGTTTGCTGACAAATTTTCATGAAAAGGGGATAAAGGAAGAGGAAGTGAAACTTGATGCAGAAAAGAAATAAAAGCTTTGATGAGTGTACGATTTTAAAAGTCAGTTTCAGTTCTGACTGATGTTACATCTGATGTCAGCTTTATGTACTTCTCAGGCATTTAAACACCATTTAAACAGCAAAAACAAGGTGAAGAATTACAGGGTATAAATAAAGAAGTAAATAAAACCAAATAATCAAAATAATTATACACAGCAGTAACAGCCTACTCCAAGAGGATGACCATGACCAAAGTCAAAGGCATTAAATAAACTCATCTTGGACTCCAATGGGACTCTGTTTACTGAAAATAACATCTAGTCCTAAGACATATTCTGCTTTCTGCCAAAACTTCAAGTGAAGTATAAGCATTCAGTTACAATCCATGAGAGCTGACCACTTATCCCACAAGACACTTACCTCGCTGAGCCTTAAAACAAGGTCACAGAGTGTGGTTTGCTCTGATCGGGACCTTTTTACAGTGAGTCACTGTGCTGGGAATATATTTGTTATATTACACAAATATTTAAAGCTTCAGTACTTTGGCAAAGAAGAGAAACCCAAAGATATCTGAGGGGAATTATAAAGCTTATTTCACATGTACAAATCCACCCCTAAGTTTGGAAGAGTTTTTTCTAATTCTACAGTCAATACACGTGTTGCTATTATACAATCATATTTCACCAAACTAGTTTTGGCCAAGAACAGATAATACACATTTTGGGCATAGTGGATTGTATTTATTGTATCCATCTGTTTCCATTGGGAAATATTGAAAACCATAATTGTGGTCAACATAACCATCTGAATACTCTAAAAGAATCTTCCAAGGAGAGATTTTGGTGACAATGCAATCAGGATCTGGGGCTTCTACTCTCTCCAGTCAAACTGGCAGAGGTCAATACCAAATCCAACCATGAAAACCATATTTCTGCAGTCAAGTAATCAAGCTAGGAATGTAAATGCTGTATGCGTTAAAGCAGAGCAACAGAAATGAAAATCATAATGTTCAGCTTGTTCACAAAACCCTCAACAGTATGTGAATTTATATTGGTTTTTATGGTTTTGTGACCAGGGTAAAAGGCAAACCTCACTACATCTTTATTGGGATGCCGTTTTTGTAATTTAAAAAACGCATTAATGTTGTGTCATCATCATCTCTCCACTGACATCTGGTCCATAAAAGCAAGTTATGAAAATCTCCACTAAGTGCTCTGTAAACAATTAAACAGTTTTTAATGAACAACAACAAAAAACATAATAATAATAATAGTCTTTTTAAGTCTGGGGATGTTTAATGGCCAGTGCTGCGAGAAGGAAAGATGTGGTCGCGTTCAGGAGCACCGTCTTCCATCTGGCAGATCTGGAGACATGCCACCACCCGCCCTCTGAAATCAGCATCGCAGCGCACAGTTGACAAGTGCGCCTCCCCCTCCAAAAGTTGTTTGACATACCCATCGTTATAGGCTTCGCCTCTGGCAGTTTCTTTTTTAAAAGGCAAGCTCAAAGCTGCACATTATTCATTCTGCTCACACACCGTGCGGATACCATAACCTACAGAGGGAGCGACAGCAG